TCTGATTTGTGGGGAGAAAAAAATACTATTCATTAATTAAAAAAATACGGTTTATCAACCTAGCGAACAGTATGGGAAGCGCGTGGGCAGGAACAGGAAGCGACGGCGACACAGCTTCTTCTGTTCGCACACAGTTGCCAACAGTTGCTTGTGGAACATGCCAGCCGGACGCGGCACGGGCACTGAAAAAGACCCGATGATGAGGCAGTCGTCCTTGCTTGCTGTGGCTCCAATTGCCCGGAAGAAATCAGACCAGATCGCGCCGTGTAGCGTATTGCCACGCGTGTTAGTGGCTTAGCTAGCGCCTATTGGCATGCGAGTTACTGTGTAGAAACTGGGCAATGCAAGGATTTTCAATAGACACGAGCTTCCGACGACTTTCCTGTATACTACTCCGTCCCAGGAAGGATGTGATCCTAGAATTTAAATGTTGAACCCACTAATAAAAAAAGAACTGCATGCAACTGCACGGTGCATCCATCCATCCGTGACCGTGTTCCCCAGGCACCTTCCGGCCTCCCGCACCCAGCAAAGAGTAGCGGACTCAAAGAATCGTGGGAAGCACTCGCACCGCCCTCGACATTAATTTGCAGTTTCAACGGACTGTAGATAGGAAATTACCGCAGCGCAGTGAAGACAAAGGAGGGGTACATGTGTAATTTCACGTCCTCCTTAAATTGGCCTCGAAAAACAAGATTTCCATGTTTTATGGGACCGAGGAAGTATTCAACAAAAGATGATACTAGATCTTCAGAAGCTCTGTTGTCAAGAGAGTATTGTTTCTTTTCCTTTTCAAAGAAAAAAGAGAGCGATCTTTATTTTTCCAGGTGACCAGATTTATGCCCTTGTCGTCCATCTGGCCCTCTAAGGCCTCTCAGGGTAATTATAAACTCTTCTTCTATGTGCAATAAAAATTGGCATACTCTCGTGCCGGTTACGTTCAAAGGAAAAAAAACGATTTCATCTTATGTTAGAAGTTAATGTATGTCTACAGAATATTGATGCGGAAGACTAAGCAACAAGATAAGTCACCCATTTTCACATATTTTGGTCACAATAATCCTATTAGTATAAGAAGGGATTGTCGTGTGGTGTTGCAATGGTTGAAGAAGGGATTGTAGTGTTGTACACATGTTTTAGGCTTTCATGTTTGGTCTTGGTTAGTATTGTATTTTAGACTAGGAGGATTCTCCGCGTGTTGCTGCGGGTATGAAGGAGGAATATAAATATGGCCTCACTGTAGTATATTGAGTCATCTATATATAGCTTGATTATTAGTAGTCAATTTTCGAAGACGGGGAGAGGAAGTCACCTGAGAGAATAGTGCTAGCAGTATGCGTGCATGGTCATGTGTAGGTAACTGCATCCACTACTGAAACCATTTGTGAGTGGACACTTAGGGCCTGTTTGGTTCCTTCCTCACCTCCTAAAATTTCTGTCACATCGAATGTTTAGACACATGCATGGAGTATTAAATATAGACTAATTACGAAACTAATTGCACAACTTGCGACTAATTTGCGAGACGAATCTTTTAAGCCTAATTAGTCCATAATTTGACAACGTGGTGCTACAGTAAACATGTGCTAATGATAGATTAATTAGGCTTAAAAAATTCGTCTCGGAAATTAGCCTCCATCTATGTAATTGGTTTTGTAATTAATTTATATTTAATGCTCTTTATTAGTCTCTAAACATTTGATGTGACATAAATTTTAGGAGCGACTAAAGAACCAAACACCCCCTTAATTGCATGCGGTCGCAGGAGAAGTGGATGATGACGTGGCTCAAGGAGGCGCTAGAGAATTAGGCTAGTGGGGTTTATCTTTATAGGAGATATAGATTTTTGCTTTCTTCTACCAACACGAATGACAAATGCCCCCATTGAAGAAAGTCATACTATTTGCATAATGCTCATAATGTGTTGCTTGTTCACTCAATAACATGAGCTCCCATCTCTTTTTGGTTGACGAGTGCCTTGTGTCTTATAGACATTCAACCCTTACACTACAGGATATGACTGAATCGGGGATTGAGCGACAACAAGTTTTTCTTCTTCGTCTCATCATGTAATACCTACTTAACTAGTTATTATGTCGAGCTATAGTTGACTCTAGTTAGACATGGGTGGGATATCAGGGTGGATATCATCGCCATCTCTGTTGTCATTAACTCTCGATCCTATTTTAGACCTATCTATTGAGCGCCCAGTGTAGATCCCAACTACACCTCACACACCACTGCTCCGCCAACTCACTCACTAACCCGTCCACAAACTTATCAATACGGTCTTCTATAAAGCTAGCGGAATGGTGCTATTTTTAAATTTTAACCTCTAGCTCTAACCTTGTTATGGATTTTACTAGAGATATGAATAAGCATCCCCTGACCTGGACTCTGACTTGCGACTTTATAGAAAGACTCAACTTACAATTGAAAGGATAAAATTTGTGGGGCAGTAGTTGCTAAAACACACGAATATATATATTGACTTACTTAGGCTTTTTAGTTTTTAGCACTAGAACACTGAACACAGGATGAATTTTGACAAAAATATTGATTCTATATATCTATCTAAAGTCAACCTAATTACCTAGCAGCCATTTTTACTATATGATAGAACTATTTAACCATTTATTATCACTAGTCTAAATATTATATGCAACACCAATAATCATGAATATATAGATAAGTACTAGTTGAACTACAGATTTACATTGTATTCAGCAATAATAGCTATGACAAACTGGCAATATACTATAAATATCACATAGGCTACTTCTTTGTTTTTATTGGGGATGAAGCAAATTTTTATAAAAGAATGATAAATGGCCGCTCTTCATTATCCATGCCTTTAACCCAGGGGACTATGGAAACGATCCAGAAAGACGTTTGACGCATGTTTAACCCGTGCCGTAAGGTCTATGCACGTTAATTGGACAACATGTCTCACAACATGCATGAACTTGTGAGGACATATAACTGTTAAGATAAACTCCCGCTATCCTTAAATAAATCAATCAATTTCTATAGTTATCCTAAGTTGAACTTTTTAAAATCTGGCCACATTCATAGGAAAGAGCACCAAGATTTATGGCACATTAATATTATTGGATTAGATTTGACTAAACTTGAAAAGATTTGACTTAAGACAATCTACAAATTGATTTATTCATGAACAGATGGAGTACATTTGCCGAATTTAGAGAATAATATTTATTTAAAAACTAAATACTAATACTAAACAAAAACTTTCTTAGTAGTTGTCTCGTACTCCCTCCATCTTAAACACTGATGCAATTTTATTATAATATCGAACTAAATTATTTTGGTTTGATGAAATTTATCAAAAATGAAAAATCTCTACACATAAAAAATTCCAGGTGAATCGTACACAGGGCAGAACCAAATTTTTTCCGTTAAAAAAAACATGGTACCTTATGAAATCACCAGATTGGACACTAAATCTTCTCCTTAAAAAAACGTGGTACTTTACGAAATCACCGGATCGGACTCTGGACCGGTCTGGAGAAAAAAAATCTACCGACTCTGGGAACTACTCGATGGAAAAAAAAATCAACAGATAGATTGAAATCACCGGACATTTGCATGAGTCCCATCAGCGTTGGGCTGTTATGGCTTGTTTGGTAGTGCTTTAGCTCATACAAAATAAATATTTTGTAGAAAGAGTTATAAATTGTGGTCTTTCAAAACGACTCCGCCTGCAACGAAAAAACCCCTCGTAAGGAGCCTCACCAAACACCCGCATACTATTCATGTGGGACGAACTCTTTTTTATGCATTGCTCTTGCCTTTCCCAGCTAGTACCTAAATTCATCACAACTGCTTCATAATTGAGCTCCTGCCAACGGGCCAATTTCCAAAATCGCTCCATCTGAGCCGACATGCAAACGCTCTACAAGGAGAAAAATGTCTAAAAGAGAACTTTTTTTTATATCATATTAGAACCTAATAGTGAAAGTAATCTATTTTGCACGACCACCGAGCTACAACAGGTCACCAATATAAGATGATCCAGAAGACTTTGCATCCACTTCTTGTAGCTGACCTATAAGACTTCTCAAAGGATGCAAATATTTAGGCTCAATTTTGAATTATCGTAATATTATTTTTTCTGTTGCAACACACATTTTAGTATATAATATAAAATAAGTTTAATTATAATATTTATCTTATTATAAATTTTGATATTGCTTTTTGTAAACTTAATCAAATATTAGACAGTTTAATTTTTAGAATTAGAGCATATCCAAGAGACTCTATATTATTTCTAAATGTTAAGAACAGATATTTTGGTGAAAAACTATCATCCAACAGCTCTTCTAAATGGTTATTCAAATATAGCCATTTTCTATTTCAGATTTTTCGCTAGCCAAATATAGAAGACGAGAATAGCTCTCTAGAGTGCGCATGAGCTATAGAAAAGCTGTTGGAGAGTGAAAATATATAGAAAACGATTTTTATACAAATGACTCTTTAAATGATGATTTAGAGAGTGAGATTTAGAAAGTCTCTCGGAGATGCTCTTAGAGTTGCATTATTTTGACAAGGCATAAGTTTTTTTCTACTCTACAGTTTACAAAATTGCGACTGAAAGGGAGGCGGCGGCGGCTAAAACTAAAACAGCCATCTATTATCGGTTGCCGGTTGGGTTTCAGTTCCTCCTTTCTCTCTCGCACACAACAACCTCCTCTTCTCTCCTCCCCTGCTCCCTGCTCCCTGCTCCCTGCCTCCCTGTCAAGCTAGCAGTACAGCTCTCAGTGCAAGATTCAACCTGCCACAGTTCTCCTCGCTTCCGCAGTTCTCCTGCACAGAGATTCGCTGCTCCTCTTGTCGGCAGGCTCGATTCATAGTTGCATTCCGCGGCACCACCTCGATCTGCTCCTCCGCCAGTCGCCAGATTCGATTGATGTGGTGTGCTCTTGGAGCCAGGGGCTGTAATTTGGCACCGGCTTCCCGTGCTCCCATCCCTGACTTTGATGAGGCTCTCCCATTGTGAGAGCCACTGCGCCGGCCCCTTCCGCTTCATCCCCTGCCTCCCCCAATCCAAAGATGCGAGCCGCGACGCTGCCTCTCCGCCAGCGCCGCGCCCGGCCGCCGTCGCAGAGGAGGAGCCGCCTCCGGTTCAGAAGATAGAGGTGCCGGTAGCCGGAAAGGACGACGACGCTGAGAAGCGCGAGGGTGGCGAAAAACCGGCGGCGCCGGCGCCGGCGCCGGGTAAGAGTTGCCTGAAGAAAACCAGCTGCGGCGATGACGAGTGTGCCGACAAAGGCAATGTAAAGTGGCTGGATTTGCTCGGGAAAGATCTGACAGAGATTAAGGAGTACGAGCCAAGGTATATCTCATCTTTCTCCATGAACTTGCCGCAGCTGTCCATGAATTTGGAATCTTGGATTAGCGTAGCGTCCGCTTGATGGTTGAATTGCTATCATGCGCTGCTGATGTTCTGTTGCACATACATTTAGATCAAACTAGATGAGTTTTCTACATGCTTGGATTTTGGCGAGCTAATTTTCTGCCAGACACGGTTCTTATTAAATTAGTTTGTGTTGTGTCGACTTGAGCGTAAGTGTGAAACCATGCTTATATGCCAGCCAGATAGGATCAAAGATATTTTCCATTTGTTTAGGTCCGATGATGGCTGCCATTGTCTTGCTATTCTAGGGATAGAACAAGTCTACTTGTACTAAACAACTTGGGAAACTTGGTCATAGTGTTTTCGTCAAACATTTAGCCATGTAGGAGTAGGTGTACAAACCCAGTAATTAAGGAGAGAATATTTTTGGGCGGCACTGCATTTTATCTGTGCATGATTGTACACTTGTAGCAGAGATTAAGTTTGCATTTTTTGTTCAGATGACCATTCCAATTTTGTACATAAATCACAATTGTGGATTTATTGTTGTATGAGTGTTTATTACAGAAGCTTTTAGCTATATGCTCACATCTTTGATATTCTATCAGCTTCATATTTGTATATATACTAGCAAAATTACATCGAAGCAGTCTGAGTGCATGGTTTCATCTGAGCATACTTGATTTCTCAATTTTACTATAATTTCATACTGCTGTCAGTCAGTGTTGATCTTTATATCCTCGTTATTTTTGTTCTGCATTTCTACTTTGAAAGCCCCACTGGCCGTGTTTGTTTCCTTTGTGCAAAAGTTTAGCCCTGACACATCGAATCTTTGATACCAATTAGGTGTATTAAACATAGGCTAATTACAAAACTAATTACACAAATTGAGGCTAATTTGTGAGACAAATCTATTAAGTCTAATTAGTCCATGATTTGACAATGTGGTGCTACAGTAAACATTTGCTCATTATGGATTAGTTAGGCTTAATAGATTCGTCTCGCTAATTAGTCTACTTATGTGTAATTAGTTTTATAATTAACTCATGTTTAGTCCTCCTAACTAGTATCTGAACGTCCGATGTGACCTGACTAAACTTTAGCCTCTGAATTAAGACACAGCTAACTCACAGGTTAGATGCACAAACTGGGATTGGTGTGGTTTTTTGACATGGGTTTCTAGTTAGGACTAAGAGCGGCCATATAAAAATGCAGAAAGATATATAATGACAAGCAGATAATTTATTTTTTTCAATCAAACACTTATTATTGGTCATCACCGCTTTCCAGTAAGAAAATCCCTATCCACCAATCACCATGCTATTTGACTTCACCTTAAAGACTTGACTGCTCTGTAAAAGTTATCGAAGTGACATGTAGAGGATCAACATCACTTTCATAGAAGGGTACACTAATACAGTGTATGTCATGTTGCAATTCAACAGTTCTGTCTTGAATGCAGCAATCAAAATCAAACAACAGAGGGACATTGCTTTCCTTCTTTTTAGTGCAGGGGATATCATGTGCACATCACTCTCAAATAACACGTCTCCATACTCTAGAGACGCTTCTGTTCATGTTATGTCACATTTGGATGGATTAGCATGACTTGGCAGACTGGAGCCTTGCTGGTTTGCTAATCTCACACTGTGCCTCTTGTGGTTCGATACAGCGAATGCGGAGACTTGCTTGACGACGGAGACGGCATCTCGACATGTGTTTGCGTTATCCAATGAGTCAAGAAGAATCCTGCTAATTCTATTGTGGAAAAAAGGGTGGTTCGCATCGACCATGATGTGTTCTTTCCAGTGGAGGGCCACTGGGCCAGGGTGTCTGTCTTGTTGTTACCTCCACGAGCTCCACCGAAGATGCCCAATCAGCTGTTGTGTGTAAACCAGTCTCATCAGTACATGCCACACTATAGATGCTTCGTAGCCTAGCCGTAGGTTTGTATCAGTTTATCAGGTCTGTGTGCAGCTGGTTTTCAGAGTGGTGCATTGGTTACTGGTTAGTGCAGACACAGGATGTTACCTTTTGTAAAGCTTTGTATAATAGTAGGAGAAAATTAGCTTAAGGGGTGTTGGGATCCGATGACTAAAATTTAGGAGCTGTGTCGTGAGGATGTTGCATAGGATGTTCGGATATTAATAAAAAAATAAATTACATAATCCGTCAGTACTCCACGAGATGATTTTTTAAGCCTAATTAATCCATCAGTAGCACATGTTTATTGTAGCACCACATTATCAAATCATGGACTAATTAGGTTTAAAAGATTCGTCTCGCAAATTAGTCGCAAACTATGCAATTAATTTCGTAATTAATCTATATTTAATACTCCATATATGTGTCCAAACATTCGATGGGACAGCAACTAAAATTTAGTAGGGGCAACCAAACACCACCTTAGTTCAATGGCATCTCGAGATCTAAATTGGAAATACAGCATCCTGTGTGAAGAACTGAAGAACACTATGTCAGTGACACCGTGTGGTCATTTCCAGCTTGCTGATCTGGAACTGCATTGGATAGAACGGGCTCAAAGATAGGCCTGATCTGTATTGGGCCGTAGAGCTATCGGGTTTCATACGGGCCGAAACTGAGACAGGCCCAACATATGGCTGGGCCTTTTTCTGAGGGGGAGAGAGAGGGAGACGTTTGGCTCGGCGCGGTGAGAGCGAGACTGCTGAGCCCGAGGAAACGGGAGGAGAGGAGAGAAGCAAAACGAAGCTCGCAACCACGACGGAGAGAGATGGCCTTCAGCGTCCTCTCCCCGTCCCCGCCGCCCCTTCCGCTCCCGAGCGCCACAGCCACCGCTACGGCCGCCTCGTACCTAAGCTTCTCCGGCCACGATCGCCGCCGCCGCCGCCGGCTGGAGCACGGGTGCCGCTGCGGCCGTCCGCCGGAGACGGCGCTCGGCGGCAGCTCAGACCGCCGCGGCTCGTACGACGACGAGGAGGCGGCTCCAGGTCCCCTCGGCCTCGACGGAAGCAGCACGTCCTTCTCGGACCGTCGGACGGGTGAGCCGCGCAGGCTTAGCTATATCGTAATTGTAAAGCAATTCGTGTGTGTGGTAAGGAGCCGCGGATAAGAAAATTTTGGAGTGGTGGTTTGCATTGTGGTCGGAGAGAGAGAGAGAGGGTGAAACATGCGGTTGTCTGAGGAAGCAAGCACCAGTGGAGTGCTATGACTGAATTTTCCACAGCTAACTTCTGGAAACTTGATAAATCTGTGTTTGGGGAAGCATCGAGACCTCTGGTTTTCATTTATGCAGTTGCAGGACTTTCTTATAGTGTGTGCGGTCATCCAGAAAACATTCTGGAGACATTTCTCTACTTTGCTTGCATAGTTATAGCACCAAGCCACCAACCTTTTTCAGTCAGTGTTTCGTCAAAAAAAAAAAACTTTTCAGTCAGTGTTCTTTTTCAGAAACTTCTACTAGATAAGATAGTTGGCACTTGTCACGTGCCTTGTAGATAACGCGATTCCTAATCCTAGCATAATGATAATCTCAGAATAGTGGTGCGTATCATTTGTCTAGTTTTTTTTCTTTCCTGTTTTGCTCCTTAAAGTAAGCTACCTGTAATGTTTGGATGTCAAGTAGGTTGTGCTTTCATTTTCATCACGTTATCTATTTTAGGAAGTTCAAAACCAAGATATCAAGTAACTTCGAAAGAAGAGGACACACAAAATGCAGACCACGAGGGGTGGCAAAAGTGGCAATATAGTACAGGAGGCCTTTCGAAGAGCATGTCCAAGTCAAGATACGTCAAAGTATTTGGGGTTGATTTGTCCCCTGATAATGTGGCTGTTGCTATTGTTTATTTTGTGCAAGGAGTTTTAGGCCTTTCCAGGCTTGCTGTCAGCTTCTACTTAAAAGATGATCTTCATCTTGAGCCAGCAGAGGTATGGTGGTGAAAGTCCTCTGTTTGCTTCATCCAGATACTCCATTTCAGCTTTCAATCTCCAGGCATGTGTGCCTTTGTTTCGCTGGAGCATAAGCAGTACAAGTACATCAAGTGCATTCCCTTAGAACTCGTGTGTAAAAAAAATGTGTAACATGTCTCGGTGCAGAGATTAACTTGGTTAGTGTTTTCTAGACTGCAGTTATATCTGGGCTCTCAGCCTTGCCGTGGTTGGTCAAGCCCCTCTATGGCTTCATCAGGTTTCACCAAAATAGTGAATATCCTTCCTACCATCCCTTTCTTTCTGTATATAATATGCACTTAATTGCAATGTTGTACTCTTGCTATTTCCCTACTATACAGTGATTCCATCCCTCTCTTTGGATATCGAAGAAGGTCATACCTATTTCTATCAGGCATCCTTGGAGCACTTTCATGGAGTTTGATGGCCACTATTGTGGATGATAAATACAGTGCAGCACTCTCTATTGTCCTTGGATCGCTTGCAGTTGCCGTCTCTGATGTTGTAAGTTGGAAAATCCTTGCTTAGAATGTTTCGGTTCAACTTTTGGATTGTACCTCTAACATTTTCTTTATGCTTTGTTCATTCCATGGAGCTACACTGCAAAGACAGCATATAGGCTGAGAACAAGAGCATTTATGCAACCATGATGTTCTAACTATGTTTTCAACTAGTTTTTTTTCTCGAAAACGCAGGAGAGCTGCGCCTCATTATATTAAGAAGAATGAAAGGGGCAGAGCCCTACACCACACACCACACACCACACACAACCCCACACAAACCCAGGAATTACATTCGCGCCTGATAAAGGGCAAAGGACGACCAAGCACTAGCACTAAGCTAACCACCAAAAAGAGGGGCTGTCACGGAAGACAGACCCTTGGCTCCTGCTAGATTCCACAACCGGCGCTCTTCTCCAGCAAGGGTGAGAGCACCACCAAGGTTAGGGGTAATACCACAAAAAACGCAACGATTCCGGTGGTTCCAAAGAGTCCAAGCTCCAAGCACAATGAGAGAGTTGAGACCTTTTTGTATCAATCCACTTGTTGCTCCACTAGCCTTTTCCCACCAGCTATCAAACCGCACTGGACAGTGCAAGTTTCTATTAATAAAGCAAGGGAAAACACAATATTATAGCCCTCTTGAAGCTAATCGGGGTGGAGCTAAAAAAAATTACAACAAGCTGCTGGTTGGTCAACCACACTGCATCCTAAATGCCATTATCAGAGATGCATCATCCATTCCATTATTATCTTGTTAAAAACAACTCAACTCTGTATGGGTGTCATGTGTGACAACTAATATCTATAATTTATCTAAAACATCAAAGTTTTGCATGTGTGCCTTCTGAATTCATATATGTGTTCAGCACATTTCAGGACGCAAATATTTCAACTTCTGGTTTATTTTCAAAATGTAACTGAAACAAACAATTCAGGTGGTTGATTCTATGGTGGTTGAGAGAGCTCGAGGCGAATCACAGAGTACATCTGGATCGCTCCAGTCGCTATGTTGGGGATCCTCAGCCTTTGGAGGAGTTCTGAGTGCATACTTCAGTGGTTCTTTAGTGGATACTTATGGCGTAAGGTTGTGTTGCTAATAGACCTGATAACAGCCGATGAATTTTCTTGGTGTTTAAAGTTCACTGATCAGGTGTTCCCATGAATGCAGATTTGTTTTTGGTGTTACAGCACTTTTGCCACTGATGACATCTACTGTTGCAGTTCTTGTAAATGAAGATCGCTTACCTTTGGACGAATGTTCAGTCTCACTTTCAGTTTCAAGTTCAGAATTAATTGAGAGCTCTAAGCAGCGTATCATGCAGATTTGGAATTCAGTAAAGCAACCCAGCATATTCCTACCCACCTTGTTCATATTCCTTTGGCAAGCAACACCGCAATCAGACTCGGCCATGTTTTTCTTCATGTATGTTCACAGACTCATAATGTCAGCTTAATTGCTATGGACTGTTGTGTTAGATTTGTTTCTGAAATCCGTAAAGTCTAATAACAGTTTTTGAGTATTCGAAACGTGACAGAAGAAAGTTTGAATTCTTGCATAGAGCAATTAATTCTGAACCTGAAACTGCTGGTGCTGGATAAGTTTGAATTCTTGCTGATAACTGCTGGTGCTGGATCTGCATCTAGCTCTGTTCTTGGATATCCAAAATTTGAACAGAAATGTTAAAATTCCCAAATCTAGTGCTGGATCTGCATCAAGCTTGTGTTGATCTTGGATAGCAGTGATTTGAACAGAAATTATTTCCTTCCATGCTAAAATTACCGACTCTAGTGCTGGGGTTCTAAGCTGATTTACTGGTACCAGAATTAGTAATGAATTGAAATTCTATATAGATTATGGTTTACTGCATAGAAAAAACTGAAAATAATTAGATTTGTTGCATGCTTCTTGGCAATGTGAATAAAATATCATATTCACCACATTTCGCTTTGTAGTAATATCTCTGTAATGAATTAATATGCTATAAGCTCAAATTTCTTTGTGCTAATTCAGTATATTGCTTCATATTGCACCTAGATAGAAGCTTATACTCTAGGTACATAAAGTCAGAACTTGAACATAAAATTGGTATTGCTCTGGTATGTACATTAGAAATCTCTGTATTGACATCTCTTTGAAATGGCTGAATCTTCATATGCTATCTTCTGATGCATTTCAGCACAAATAAGCTCGGATTTACTCCAGAATTTCTAGGACGTGTTACGCTTGTTACATCTGTTGCATCCTTACTGGGTATCGGAGTGTATAATTCATTTTTGAAGGAAGTTCCATTGAGGAAAATCTTTCTAGTGACAACAGTTTTAGGTTCTGCTCTTGGAATGACACAGGTCCTCTTCTGTGCTTACTTGTTCTAGTGTTGTTCCTGCAATCTATGTTTTAAAATCAAATTTACTTGTGTATTTTTCAGGTTCTTCTTGTCACTGGGCTCAACCGGAAGCTTGACATAAGCGACGAATGGTTCTCCATTGGGGATTCTTTGATTATCACAGTCCTTGGTCAGGTATGAAAGACTTTTGCAACAACTACATGATTCAAGAAATAACCTTGCATGCTTGGTATTTGAAGTGATATACTAATTGGAGGGAACAAACTCTAAAATTACACATTTTTTTGTCTTGTGTACTGTAATTCTGTAGGTGGTGCCAAAGGGCGCCTAGCTCAAACGGTTAGGTGACCCAGCGGCACTCCTCAGGTCCTGAGTTTGACTCCCCATGGGAGCGAATTTCAGACTGAGGTTAAAAAAATCCCCTCGCCCGTCTCCATGTGCCAAAGAGCAGTTATGGCCCGGCCCGGTTCTCACAGGGCAACGGATACCGCTGCGTCAGGATGGGGGCGGGGATTCGGGGGTTTTCTCGATATGTGTGAGAAGATCTTCTTAAAGGGAAAACCCGGGGGCCGTCATAACCCCCCGCAGGTCGAGTAATTCTGTAGGTGGTATGCTGCAAAAGAGCTGTTTTTGCTCCTGTTCATGAAAATCGACATATCAACCTAGTTTCTTTTATATGCCTACCACGCATTCTATGATTGGCACAAAAGGCGTCAATATTAAAAGAGCAGCAAAGGTGTAATTATTGAAAAATAAATAGTAAAGGCATAAATAGGAAGACTAAATTAATCGAGGCAGAATATGAATATGGTACCAAAGTCGTACTGAAAGTTGAATATCCAAGATTTAATTATGGCATTCGCTCGTATAGTTCAGGTTTTTTTAGAAAAGGTGTATAGTTCAGGTTTAGATATGATACAATAAATTCCGTGACTTTCATAAACATTTTAAACATGAAGACATCTGGACCTGCACCGTGCTTTTGACACCTTACATAAACTTTGTGTTGTAGGCTTCCTTTATGCCTGTCCTGGTGTTGGCTGCAAAGTTGTGCCCTCCGGGAGTGGAAGCAACTTTATTTGCCACTTTGATGTCCATTTCTAACGCCGGAGGTGTTGCTGGCGGTCTGGTGGGCGCGGGTCTAACGCAGCTACTGGGAGTCAGCAGAGACAACTTTGAAAACCTTGCTCTGCTGATCGCGGTTTGCAATCTCAGTTCCCTGCTACCTCTGCCTCTTCTGGGTCTCCTGCCAGATGAATCCCCTAATGCAAATGGCTCACAAACAAAAAATGATTGATGTCCCTATATCTCCACGTGTCTTTACAAGACGAAAGGACATAGGAAATGGATATCAGACTGATTTTGACTTTGGCAGTGCAACTGACGACGTAATAAGAACATCGAAGTTGATTCCTCATCTGAAATTTAAGTGTGCCACACCATCACCATATCGGGGAGCAACTATATATATGTTGGACCAGGAAAGTTGGCTGCTCTCCTTGCCGAAATCTGCATGGCAGAAAGCAATTAACTGTGCACGTGTGCCTGCATTACGATCCGTCTACAAATGGGCACTGAGGTCTGAGGCTCTGCAGAATACAGGATTATTGGCTATTGTAGTTTACTAAATACGGAACGAATTAATCTGTTATTCTGGTCTGGTCCTTTGTCTAGCCACAAAAACTTGTAACCCTGTAGTTTATACAAAGAAAGAAAGGTTTCTGAAGATGGCATTTCCTGCGCAGTCTGGTAGAGTTTTTTTTTTTAATCAAAACGGAGAGAGAACCATTGTGAGATGAAGAGCTAAGCTGACTATTTATTTGGGACAGCATGGGCCACGTCCCACGTTCGTTGAGTGCTGCCTCGGGTGCCCCCACGAACTACGGGAGGATTTCAGGATTAGGGATCGGTTGGGTAGAGCAAAGGAAAAAACCTCGATGCTTTTGCGTTTCGGAATTCATTCACGTACGTATGCTTGCTACGTGCCTGGGTGGTTTTGCAGACTTGCGACGAGCTGGACTCGGGATGGTTTTGCGTTTCGAAATCCAAGGCTTTCCTAAAACACAACAACAAATCACCACTAGTTCACCCATGTGAATAACTGAATATCATGTTTGCATCCCAGAAAAGAGAAGAGATCATATTCGTTGTCCTAATTATCGCCCTTGTTAAGCTCGAGAGGAAGAAACATGTTCTTTCAGTGGAAGACCCAATTTGGGTAAACCTTCAATGAAAAAGCCAGAATGCTTACTCCTCCCTCCGACACACAGAAACTTAAGTTAAGTTTTATTCACCTTGCTCCGTTGAAGACCAAGCATACCTGACCCCAACTTTCATGAGATACAGCAGGGCAGGTGAGCCAGCCTTCGACGGGTCGGGAAATTATTCAGCAGTCAGCCAGCACAAGACAGTTTCAGCTATCCCACTAACAGCTTTACAACAGCAGTGGATGCCCATACTATCTCCTAGCAACTAAACAAGGATGTGTCTAAATCCCCTGTCCTAAAATTTAGCCAACTCCTTTCCAAGTAATACAACAAACAATTCAACAACGGAATATAAATTGAGGGGGGGGGAGGGCGGCCAAGATGCCCATGTGGATTTCCAGCAACTCAGCAACCCAGTTACGCTGCAGATTCTTCCTGTTTACCTGACTCTGACAAACCATTACCATTAGTAGCTTGAGTTTTGACACGGTATACCTTGGTAGTAGCCTGCTGTCTCTTATCCTGTTGCAATCTTGGGTTATCCTGCTTAGGCTGTCTATCCGGGGCTGTCCTTGGATCGTGTTTTGCAGGTACACCCATGTGACTTCCACTTGGTTGCTTCCCAATCCAGTTACTGGGAGGTAATGGTGGTGGAACCCCATTTACAGGTGTCTGCTGCGGGAATCCCCCAGTTTGGAAAGGTCGCTGAGCTATAAAACTGATGTTCTGCATAGGCCGCTGGGCTGGGGGTCCGGCAAAGTGATTAGGATGTGGTTGATTGGGCCAGTACCCGGAATTCTGCATCCTGTTATTTTGATCAGGCCTTGGCCCTTCTTGGATTGTCAATTTTGACATTGATGCACGGATACCAGCATCATGACTTCGGGAGTTTGGCCGTTCTAGTATCCGCATTGGCTGTTTGTTAGCTTGAGAATCACAAAAGAACTGAGGGTGAGGGTTTGGAACACTTCTAGACATGTGTGCATGGTATGGATTATCCACAAAACCCCTCTCATACCCCAATGGTCCAGCAGGCCTTGGTCTGTTTCCAGGGCCATAGGGTGCACCCCTGTATGGCATATCAAGTAACCCAGCAGCATTGCCAGATTTGATCTGGAGGGAATTTTTCACCAGACGGTGTGCAGCTTCTCCTAAGAGAGAACCAGAAAGGGCTCCAGAAACCTGAGGCCTGTAAATGGAAAGAAATCATGATGGTGCAAACAGATTACCCAATTGGTCAGGCTACAAAAACAGGGTAAGCTAGTCAGGATGAAGTAAAAGTGTGTTGATCTAAATTTGCAAAACAGTGCACAGCTTATATAGTATTTCATTTAAAGTGGATACCCAGACTCCTATAGTTCCTGAATACTCTCTAGTGGAAGTGGAAGTACTCTGCAAAAGCATTATGACATATTAATCATACCTTTCTCTTGCTTGTCGACGACTATTATCTTCATGCCACAACACAGGAAAGGGTTTGAAATCACTAGGTTTCAGTATCTACAAAATGGAACACTTGTTGGGCCATGAATTTATCTTTAAACTGCTTATAGCAAACCAACATCGAAATCGATACAAACGAAATACCACCATATACTTCAATGGATAATGATAACATGGATAATGATAACATATACTTATATAAAGGTCATAACAGTGCAATCATGGATAATAAGAGAGCCAGGTAATTAAAAGATAGCATCATCACAAAAGAAAATATTATGCTTCTGTTCAGAGGCGGAGCTTTGTTGTGGCCAAAGGTGGCCATGGCCCCCTCTGCCATTAGAAATTACCTTAAGTGAACACTAAACTTTATGATTTCTGAAAACAAGCGATCTGTTTTTCTCTCCTGGGTTGATTCATGTGTATAGTGGTTTTTTGTTTTTCTTCTTGTTCTAGCCTCGCTCGGGCTTAGCTGAAGTGTTTTCCTTTCGTTTTGTGCAGTGGTTGGTTTTGTGGTTTACTAAATCTAACAGTGGGAGAGCCCCCTTTTGTTTTCTTGGTTAAAAAAAAACACTAAACTTCACACCCTACATGCTTGGTAACAAAAACACTAAATAGAGTAAGTTATGGGCTTAGTTTCTAAACTGGTGATGTCAAAAAGGCTAAACTATACATAAGGGGCTTTATTCTTTAAAAAAAAAGAAAAAATATATTATGTTCACACTTTCATCTCTCCAAGAATTATATGCACCAAAATGCACATTGGGTGCAGGGCTAACAAAAATACCTTCGCGGGTATGATGACCCCCACTGGAGGCTCTGGGATGTGTTTGTGATACTGAGGATTAAGATAGGTAGCATTCCTGAAAAATAATAGAAAAAAAATTATATATATGTAGTGCTAGTAGATTTAAAGGGTGGCTTTTAGTTTACAATATGCCTTTACACGATAAGATGCTTACAAAACTCTGTTCTGAGCAATGCCATTGAACCCCCTAACTGGAGAAGTTACAGTGACGCTATACCAGTTCCTTTCGGATAAACATAGGAATCCATTCATTCCACCACTGCATACAGCAACACAGTAAACAAATGCCGAATGCAAAATAATCCAAATCAATGTATCTAGCATTTCTACCAACCTAACAGCAGGCTGAATGGGAATAACATAAGGGTCTGTTCTTGATAGGTGGTAGTAGTTCTGATACAGGAACATAATCTGAGTAGTCAATGGATGAGTATCTCTAACATAAATTATGTCAAACATAGTCCTGTTCCTGAATTTCTCTTCTTCCTGTGAAAGAGCAAAATAAAGCTCAGCCAAAATGAAAGTAACAAGCCCAGATGGTTAAAAAATAAGGATTGTAACATAAACATACTGTCAAAGTATCTTCAAGTTTTCTTGTCTCCGCAAGCAGACGCATTTCATCAATAAAAGGCAATTTTGCAACACCCTGGGCAAAAGAGAACATAAATATTTCTACATAACACAATCAGTAGCCAGAAAGAAGAATGATTTATCCATTTGCATTACCTGCCATGCAAAACGTTTCCCATTCATGTCTATCTCAAAATCTGCAGGTGCAGCATAAGGCTTTAGAAGCAATGAATAAATATGATTTTATTGATACACAATCACCCTATGCATGGGGCAGTTTTGAGGTACTTTTATTTTGCTTTGCAAAATAGGTGGTGGTACCTTTGGGATAGAAAGACTTCAATGGTGAATCTGGATCAGTCATCAAATCCCCATAGTATTTTGGCAGTGCATTGGAGCTACAGAAGAATAAATAGTGGACATCTCAGAACTCATTGTATTTGACATTCTTTCCATTTGAACATGGAACGGATTCATTTGCATCAGGGGTAGCAGACCTTGCAGCTGGTAGCGTTCCCATTAGTTGATCAAATGGCTTGAAAGGTTGACCCAAGAAAAAGGTTATTTCCAATTCAGCCAAGCCTTTTAGATCAGATGCAAAAGGCGCATAATGATAGGGATAGAACCTGACATGTGGATGAGAAGCCACAGTAAACGTTTGATCTAAAGAAGAAGAGCACATGTGCTGCTGAGAAGAGCATGTCAACACTATTGCTTAGGTAGGCATGTTGGTTATGGCAGAGGTAAAAATGGTTTGTCACATTATTGATTTATGTAAAACAGTGAACCCTGAATGTCAGTAAATTGCCATCAACGCATAAGCAACAGAGAACAATATCAGGAAACAGGCACTAGTCACTTAAGACATGAGCCATATCTAACTGCACCGCCTATTGGAGATTCCACAACTGCAGCATAGCCTGTTGCATGGCAGACAAATACCAGAGGTTTTTGTTCTTCAGTCATAAAATTTGGTTTGCAAGTCGTAAATAGAAGAGGATGTTGACATGATCATACTGGACTATCACTTTTATATAATTATGAGTCGTGGAACAAGAACCAATTGATCTGTGCAGAATTACGGCATATGGTTTCGATGAAATCTAGAGGTCCAAATTTGGGTCATCTAGTTACCATAAATTTAGATCTTAGATGCATATCTTGTATCTGTTTGTGGAGTTAAGAAACTTTAAGAGGACCTACCTAAACTGGGCATAATGTTTTACGTCAGAGATAGTGGAGAATAATACTTTAGCATTCAATCAAGTGATGTTTTATCTTCCACAGGAAATGTGATAGCAAATTCTCACAGTAGACGGTCAATATTTACCTACCACTGCCATGAACAAACACCTTGATAGTAGTATCTCATAACCCAACAAAGACCTTCCGCGTATTTCTGGACCTGAAATATGCATAGATAATAGACAAATAAAGACAAACGAGACCAATGTTGACAGCAAATGGCAACCGAATAGCAGTAGTCAGTATGAGTATACCACCTATTCCTACCACAGAATGAAAGAAAACATTAAAACAACAACAAAGCCTTTATCCCAAACAAGTTGGGGTAGGCTAGAGATTAAACCCAACATGAACCAAAGAAAAGGATTGTGGTGTTTTTTTTTTTAAAAAAAAAAAAGGAGTTGTAAGTAGGCCATGGCTCTGGTATGTGGATTGTAAAATGTAAATTCACTTTGCATGCTACTACAATCTTTTATTTGGGTTTCATCTGGTGGCTGGATTTTTCGTACGGCTCATCCAGCCTCATGAATCATGACCCTCCTTTCCCCTGACTTGGGACCAGTATTTTTAAACAGGATAGATAGAAATAAAAAAATCCAAAATCGCTTTGGGTGTGAGTAATTTATAGTAGGTTGAGACCAACTCACAAAACCAAACTAAAAGCATTTAAATCAAGTCAAGTTTCTGCCCTAAGCAAAGCCAGATCAACCTTATTAACATATTGGGCAAATTGATCATGCAACAAACACGTCAAAACAGCTGGCTGATTGTTCCAGCCTGTGAAGTGTTAGGAAATGTAGACTATTGACTATTGCTGCGAGGCCAAAAGAGGCATCTCGATGGTGGACTCAGTCCATAACTATTTCCAACACAAAACCATCAATATTAGTCCAGTTATTAATTGTAAGTTGTAGCTGTTTATGTTGTCAAGGGGCAACATTCAGAACCTGGTTGTTGGGTATTTATTATCTGGCAAACCTTTCATATATCCACTGTCAATTTTTCAGCGGTAACATTTGGGCATTGAGTTAGAAGTTGCTGCGATTCCACAAATCAAAATGGTGCCTGGCAAGAAAACTCACAACATCTCTCCGAACTTGATCAATGGGTTTTGACTCCGCCTCTTCTTTAAACTTCTCAGCATAATAACGCTCCCTGTATCCTGGCTCTCCTAACTTCACCTGAAGGAAGAAATAGAACAAGGGACAACCAACGATTTTAATACTTCCTTACAGTTATTAGAGACATCGGACATTACTGAACAAACATATTTGGACAGTTCACAGGATAAAAAAATAGACCTTATCCACATATTGATTCTCCTCAGAATTCTCTCTCTGTATTCTATGCTTCTCTTCATTGTTCTCGCGTGCCTGCAGTTGACCAATCAGAAGTTAATTTGTCTTCTAAGATAGCAATATCAATGCAAAGATCTAACTAACAAGCTTTTGTGGTTGTACATTTTAAGTATTAACACATACGGTAAGGTTCAAATGGCATAAATTTTCAAATTATTTGGAAATGTATACTCAAGTGGAAGTTGAAATTCATTCCTATTGAGAAGTTCACTGAAAAGGAATTAATCATTTTTTAAAAGGCATCAACGCTATGGTATCTTAACATGCTCATATCATGTTAAAAAATGAAGTTGCACAATAAGCATATCATTATAGCATAAGATGATTGGCCTACTAAGATTATTAGAACCACTACTATAAAATGATTTCACAATCTTCACCATGATCACATATTTGCATGCATAAAGTATATGTAGGAATACAGAAATCAATAAAGACATTGGATGAAGACCAGCTAGGAATTACCTGTTGAATGCGTACCCGTTTCTGGAAAATTTGTTCTTCATTGACCGCAACAGACTGGATGAAATGTTCCACTCGGTCCAATATAACCTTTTCATTAGAATGGAGAAAATGTCAAGATTTCAGGCCTTGACCCCATGTAAAAGGAAAAAAAAGGAAATCCGTGCATTCGGCAAAGCAACAACTACTGCTGAATGATGAGACCGAAGGTTTTACTTATGATTTTATGAGTCATCATAAACCAAACTTTCACTTGTGGACACTTGATCTGAGCATTACATCAGAGAATGAAGAGGGGCTTTCTCCCAAATGGCTTAAATTGTCAAGTGGTGGGCATAATAAACTATCTTATACATGTATGCTATTGAGCAGCATGATATCCAGAGGTGCAGACTAAACAAGGAAGGAATATTCAACCACAGATGATGTATGACGAACCGTAACAAACATACTTGCCAAACACAGTAAAGCCACCTGGTACTTTAGTAAAAATATCGGATCCATCTTCCTACATTCTAGAAACAGTTTCTTTTTTCACAGGCAATGGTACAATAGCAAATGTCCATAGGTCCCAATCCCATAACTCATCAGGCGAAAATGGGTATGAAGTTCAATTTGGTCTACAGTCAACTTGAGTAATGTTACTGTGATTTCTATAATTCACTGGATCCTACCAACCATATTCCACGCATTGCATTTTAAACCAATATGTACATAATACCAAATTTGCTGCATTTTAAACCAATATGGTAACATAATACAAAATTTGCAAATTGATGGGATTGGTACCATTTTGCTTATGTAGTGTTAACGTTCTGACACAAAACAGATGACAGGATAACCATGAAGAGAGAATTCCTATCTAAATTGGTTTCCCTAAATAGTAGTATGATTATACACTATTAATATATCAAACATCATAGTGTGCATCACATGGTTAAAGAAAGCCAATAGTTCACTATAAAGCTGACTACAGGACTAGTTTCCTACATTTTGTAAGTATTAAGTATTTGCTGCCACAAAAAATGTTGCAATTGCATGGCTTCAAAGTTCAAACAATACAAGAATTTGCATCTGATAAACCTTACCTCACCCCCATCAGTTAGGTAACCACCCATTGATGTGAACTCCGACCTGTAGATACTCATGAGAAGATTAATGGCACCCTACAGAATACAGCAATTAATCACAGTTATGAACAAATCATCTTGGAAGTAAAATAAAGATGGATGCTTTCGATCAACACACCTCACGAATTTCCAAAGTTGGCATGTGAGGAAGAAAGTCATTGCCAACAAAGAAACACATAAACACAAAATCATCAATAAGACGTTCAAAGTTTATCTTGAAGGGAGCGTCTACAATTTCCAAATCCTTTGCCAGGTATTCACGCAACACCCATATGTTAAGAAACTGTCAACAGGAAAATATTCACACAGTGAATCAACATCAACAAGAGTAAAAGATGAATAACAAACAACATATCTGAAGCAATTTTACTGGATCAAAATGGTTATATAGTTTCAGAGTACCTGGTACTTCTTTTTATGAATAGGAGGTAGCTCCACAGAATTATCAGGCTGACTAGGACCTCTGCATTCAGCAGCCAAATGCCCAACTTGACCACAAAGAAAACATTTTTCTTGTTGCCCTGGCATGGAGATCACCTGTAAAGTCAGTTGAATTCTGTAATTACGGGATTACTCCTAAATTACCATGTAGAGGACAAAATTAGGGTCCAGAACTTGGCCCTAGCTAGATGTGTATAAATATACATATACTTTCCAACAAAGAACAATAAGAAGTTTTACCTCTCTTAAAATTGAGAAGTGGACCTCGTGAGTTGCTAGAGCAAGCATAATCAAATCAGCATCCTGGAGAATAGAGTGGGTAACGTGTATCACAGATTTAGCTTAAACAGAAACCACTAGTAGTTTAAAAATGAAGTAAACTTACCAGGCCATATAAGCAATGGCGCGTATTGGGATCAAAGCCAGGAAGATTGCGCTGCAGGCGGATGTATGACATAATTTTGTGCTCTCCCTCTCCAGGGACATTGGAATCAGACAATATTATCTTGAAAAATACACACAGTGCAGATCTCAGTTAGTACCTAACTAGGATTGAGAACAAATTTACAATTCCAAGCCAGCATAGTAAACACCTTGACAGACTGCCATCCAAGCGTGTGATTCAGCCTCAACTGTATGTAGTACTGAAGTGCCGTAGATAGTACATACATGAACTGTGTCCCTGGAGTAATGACATTGGAGTCTATTGCTTCTGACTTCTCCTTCTGGGCTAGAGTCCTACCCTCTGCCTCAAACTCCTTCCTCAGCCTCTCCTCCTCCGCTGCCTGAACAAAGTAAACGCAACATGAGAAAACAGCTGCCACCACCTGAACAAGCCAAACAACCACAGCAACTGTAGCCTTACCGCATCAGACGCGTCCTTAGCAGCCCGGAATCGCCTGGACCTCTGCTGATTCATCTTTGCCCTTGGAGCAACACCGTCTACGTGACAAAAAATTGACCGACCTTGTTACTCAGAGCAACACCGTCTATACGTGACAACTGACAAAGTAGCAGCACTGTAGCAGCGACTCACCAATGGCCATGTAGAGGAGCTTCCTGGGGCGGACGAGGCCAAAGAGGTGGTCGATGTAATCAAAAATCGACTTGAACACCTCGTCGTAGGTGGTGGGGGCAGGCTGCAGGGAGGAAAACCGAGGCCGTGAGATCGAGAGCTAAGCAAACACTGGGTAGGGACTCCGGGGTGCGGAATCGAACGGGCAGGACCGAATGCGTACCCGACCCTCGGGGTGGAAGCAGGGGTGGATGATGCCATTCATGTCGAGGTAGAGGTTGTCGAACTCGAGGCCGTTGGGGTTGGGGCGGCGTAGGTCAACGGGGACGAAGGCGCCGGGCTCGAGCTCCACAGGCTCCTCCTCCTCCGCGTCCGACACCGTCAGCGGGTAGCGGTCCGCCAGCCACCGGTAGAACGCCGGGACTCCCATCTCCGACCGACCTGCTCTGCGGCCGGATCTCCTCCTTGCTCTGGCCTCCCTCTCGCGGGGCGGCGCTTCTAGGAGCTCCTAGCACCGCAGTGGCGTGCGGTGGTTGCTGCCTCCTCTTTGGTTCGATCTGGAGGGACGGGGAAGGGTGAGGCCTGCGGGGGGGGGGGGCCGATGGCCTGGAGTCGCGCGTGCGGGCGGGCGGGTTGGGCTTCCGTCTCGGCCACTGCGGCCTGGTAACTGTATGGCGGTTTTAGCCCGATCCGGGAAGGCTGATGATGGGCTGCAATAAGGGCCCGTTTGGATGACCCCTTTTAGAGCAACTCCGAGAGAAGATCTAAATGGATTTGTAAATGTAAAGTATATTGCATGCTCAAACACGCCATTAGATGCTATGAGCAGCGCGTGCGGAGTGTGCAGTTAGAATCCTATTTACTAGGAGTACTAGCAAAGTGGTTGTGTTGTGATCTGCCAGTTTTGGACCTATCTATTCCGCTAATACTAGCGTTATTATTTTGGAGTTGTTGTAATATTGTCTTATATTGATGCTTGAATCCACTTTATTTTGGGTCCATACTTTGTTTAAATTTAAGGAAGGGTGGTGGAAAAATGGATGCCCTCCTTTCACTATGTACTGTTGGCTTCACTGTGATCAGTGCCAGTTTTGGACTATCCGGAAGCACGGGTTGTGCATGTCCGCTGAATTTACTTTCTAATCTAGTAAAGTGGTTTAACAGCAGCTTATTTGTTTGTACTGCAGTGTGGTCATTAGTGGTTGCAGTTTCTTTCAATGTGAACTTTTTGATTCAAATACATTGTCTTATATTGATGCTTGAATCCGCTAATACTTTATTCAGGGATGCTGGCCGGTGGGGCTGGGTGCCAGCACCTGGGCACGGCCAGCGCCCGTTCCATCTTTTGCCGTTTCGGGCAACGTGTGACTGCTACCGGGCGACGGGGTTAGGTAAACCAACGAGCAGCAACGCCTACTACCTCACCGCGTCCGACCCCATCGGATCTAGGTCGTCTGATTGTAGCCGGTGGGGCACGTGGCGGGCATGCAGCCGGCAGCTGCTGGGAAGGTGCAAGCGGCGGACGGATTCTGGAGGAGGCAAAAGCGTAGGAGGGTGGGCGGGGCGGGGGGAGAGTCCTCGCCGTTTTCGTCGCGTTCGTCTTCTGGCAGGCGACTGCGAGCTCCCGTTTAGGGAGGTGTCGGTTAGTGATGACGTCACAGGGATAAGCATGGCCAACTGGCCAAGTGCATTGTTTGTGACGGTTGTTAGTAGCCGTCTACTAAATCTAGGGCGTGGGAGCAAGCGTGCATGCAGCACGCAGCATGCAAGCGGAGCTTCAGCCTGCAAAAGCGTAGGAGGAGGGCGGGGACTGGGGAGAGTGGGACCCGCGTATCGTCCTTGGCAGGCGAGCGGGGAGGTGTCGGTTAGTGATGACGTCACAGGGATAAGCATGGCCAACTGGCCAAGTGCATTGTTTGTGCGGTTGTGTCTGCATAAATGCAGAGACGGACGGACCTGCAGCATGTTCATTTCTTCAATCGTGAATCATTGTAAATTTTTAATGAATAATATTTTTCTCTCATCAAAAATGCCGTGATTTTTTTTTCACGAATCAAGAACGATCTGAGCAAAATGCAACCGAATGTACGCTAATGGGTAGGCAACCTTCTGTTCTAATTTCTGTTTGTTCCTCGTGTCCCCGTGAAAATAAATTAACTAAAGCTATGCCCGTTTTGCAACTTGTCGTCAACTTGTCATTACTGTATGTGTACATATACGGACTCACTTCATGGTATGACAAATAAACTTAACTCTGTAATTAAAGTGTGCCCTCTTTATTTTCTTGGTTGGAGAAGACGGTGACCATGAGGGTCAATCTAATTGAGCTGACGGAAATTAAATAGTTTGGAGATTTTACGATCGCCCCATCGGATGGATTATCGGAGAAAACAGGAGGGGAGAACTAGGACAACCAACTTTTTGGTAAGTTGCATTACTCCCTCCGGGCAGTTTGTCAGGTAGTAAGTCGCAGCAATACAATTGTGAATTTAGATCCTGTTTAGATCCATATCCATTAGTGCTAATGGTTAGGTGGGCTACTACGCCTAGTCAAGCACACCGCCTATGCATATAGCACCGGCTGTAGCCTATAGCCTCCAAACATAGCTAGAATTTTGTAACATGCACCCACAACGACGAATCAAACTGTTTTTTTTTCAGAAAAGGCCGCCGTGACACGCGGATGCATTCTTGAAAGGAGATTTTAGCACCACGTCTTTGAAGCAGCTAAGTTGGTAGATGTAGATCCATGCCGATCGGCCTGGGCAGCTTGAGCTGACTGGAAGGCGCACGTTGGAATGCCCGTACTGATCGATCACAGATAGTAGTACGGAGTAGAAGAGAACGAGAGAACAGAGAAGCAACTCTGACACGCGCGCACTAAAATGAAACAATAATTTTAAAAGGACAGTTTTGTTCGGGTTATCACCCAAAGCAGTCGAAAAAGCCGTCCGTGTTGCTTATGGTGAGGTGGGTCGACCTGACCTAATAAACTTCCAAATTTGAATGAGATGGTTTATTTTTATTAAACGACCCAAGGCTACAGCTAGGGGTGTGCGTGCGTGCATGGCGCTGGCGCAGTGGAGATCAAGCATGCAAGCTGTGATTCCGTCCATGCATGCGCGAAACGGCCGGGGCTTTGGCGTGCCTGCCGCCGGGGAGACAAAAGCTGAGCCCGGCGTTGCAGTGCCATACACGGCCCGTGTCAGGAGCCAGAAGGACAGCTGGACCACAAGGAGCCCAGGAGGCATGCAGCAGGTGCTCCAGCCAACGGCAGGCGGGCACGGATACTCTCTGATATCTCCCCGCACGTCCTCGCTCCTCCTACCCATTGGATTTGTTTCCAGTTTCCACTTCCGATCACCCCTCCTGTTCTCGCGAAGCAAAGAGAGGTGTGGTGCCCATGGTGGTTTGGACGTGCCGCGCATAAACTGCGAATTAGGGCCAGGTGAAATAGGCCCTTGAATCAAATTTTAGTAGTCAATCTGTTTTAAATTTTAGTTTACTTTAGTTTTGTCAGGCTTGTTTAGGTAGTAGTAGCTCTGAAGTTGTTCTTATCAACACAGGTTGTCAGAAGTTGAGTTAATGACAAACATAGTCCGTACTAGTCCAAAACACTGCACCGGCACCACTAAATTTACAGCGTTGGATTCATATTAGAAAATTTTGGACCACTACTAAAACATCACGGAAAAAGTTTGTGATCAGTTGAATTTTACAGAGTTATTGTGATTAGTTCAATTTTACACAGCTAATTTGACACAGATATAACCTTTATCTATTTTTTGAACCGGTCAAATTTGCTGCCTTCAAGTGATCAGGAACACGTGCCAGCCATCTAGATGGTTCCTGGTAGGGGAGTAGGAGAGGGCAGAGCGCGAGAGGGCGCGCCATCACGCTTGTTCGCTAGCGCCTCTTTGCCGTTTTAAGCAAACCATCAAAAAAGAGACTGCAAGAGAGTACTCGTCTATTCCGGCAAATTGCAATAATTTGATTTTTTTTCGATGATTGACCACTCGTCTTATTCAAAAATTTGTGTAAAATATCATTTCTTTAAATTGGTGGTTTGGTTTGGTTTATTAATAAAAATTCTTCAAGAATGACTTAAAGAGAACTATATTTGCACAAATTTTTGAATAAGACGAGAGAGTCAAACTTGGAGCCAAAAAACCTCAAACGTCTTACATTTGGGATGGAGGAACCGAATACGTCTACTTGTGAAACTAACCCAATTTTTTTATTTTAGCCCTTTTTAAATTTTTTTCTATACCCCTAGATGATTTCAAAATCTGACCGCCTTCAGCGCCATCGTTCTTCGGCGCCGAAGCATAACGCAGCCTCGGCCACGGGGACAAGGTCGTGCCGAGCTCTTGGCTCAAAGAAGCGAGAGAGAGAGACATGGCGGTCTCGGCGTGAACAGAATGAGAGAGAGAGTTTTTTAACCCCGGCCCCAACCTTCTTGCCCGTTTTTCTTCCTCTTCTTTCTCCTCCCTCTCGGTTTTTTCTCTCCCCATCGCTTACATCACGAATTGGCATATTGGACATTGAAACTTTGATTTGATCTCTAACTTGAGAGCAAGGTATTTTTAGCCCTTTTAGAATTTTTTCATCGATTGCCCTATATATTAGTCGGATTTTTCAACCTAAGAATATGGACCCTTAGCTCATTCTATCCTCAATATTTGTATCACAACCAGTAGGATGATGCCAAGGCATGAAAAAGCTAGCAAACCTAGGTAACCGCCGTCCGCATAGTTATGTTATGGGTTTATTGTTGTGCATCAAATAAGAAACCCTAGGTTTAGTTTTAATGTTAATTGCTTTCGTTCTTAGAACGAATTTGGTTGTATTGTAGTTATGGTTCTCATTGACATTTATTTGTGATGTTTTGATTTTTGTTTGTTAAATTACATCCGCTTTGTTAGATTTAAGAAATGTATCGGGAGGAGTTTTGGCTCTCTCGAAATTATACCTCTCTCTCTAGCAAAGATTTTCTCTCCCTCCAGCTTCGCCTATATCATTTGTGGTTTCGGCCACGTTTTTCAATCGAATATCCGACCTTGTAAACTTTGATTTAATCCGTAGAAATTATTTCCACTATCTTTTTTTCTTTATTTGTGTAAGTATCCTACTAATATCCTCCTTGTTTTTCGTTGTGTAGGACCATGATTGTTTTTTCTTTCATTGGATCGATATGCGACAAGTTTTGACCCTAGGTACCTTTTTTTGACGAACCTTAAGAACATCATCATTACTTAGGGTTTCATTCCCTATCCCTCAATATTTGTATTATACAAGCAGTTAGATGACTCAAGGAACCTCCTCTGTTTTCAGATCGAAATGTGATAAACCACGAGAATACGTTGTTTGTCAAGCATGAAGTCGATTACAAAGTGGTTTTATGGTCCTATATGAACCAATGTCACCTTA